TTATGATCCATAGTTGTTTATGTTGGGCTAAATCCATGTGGTGACCCATGGATACTACATGGAAGTTAAAGCCCATGGAGCCTAAGGAATGTGGAAAGTGATGCAAATTAGGGTTTGCATGGTGTAAACCTAATAAAGCCCCACTATATAAGGAGCCCTTAGGCTCCAAAATTGTGCATTAGTTCTTGAAAGATCATTGAGCCGATTTTGGTGTGTGGATATTCTCTCAAAAGTCATCCTTTGTCCAAAGGTGTGTAGTGACTCCATTTGAGGCATTCACACTATTGGTGCTAAGTTCTTAAAGGCCAAAACTACAAGCTACAACAAAGAGGTAATTCTACAACTCATTTCTATGATGTTTATGCTAGTTGTAGGCTTAAAGCTTTGGAAACAATATTGCATGTATAATTAGAGAAAACATAGATCCAAAGCTTTTAGGGTTGCATGTACACCATAGGAGTGTTAGAATGCTCAAAACCCTTCAGTAGACTCATTGGTGTAATGCCCAGTCTTCCCACACTTGTAACAAGTCACTTCCCTGTCACATTTTCCAAAGTACTTCTTTTTTCACTTCTCACACCATCTTGCTTCACATCCTCCTCCTCAAAATTTTTTAGAACTAGACTTCTCACACCATCTTGCTTCACATCCTCCTCCTCAAAAAAAATTTAGAACTAGACTTAGAGAACTTGATCTTCTTATTGGACCTTGAAGATCCTTCAAACTTCCTTTTCTCTCCTACCTCAACTCTCTCCAGACCCTTCTCCCTTAATTGGCTCTCGACATTCTAGGCGCTCTAACGGTTGTCTTCAAAATGCTTGCCATTTTTACTGTTGGGCCAAAGTATGATGGCAATTCGTTAGCAAACTTCTCTATCTTGGAGAGTTCAATAGGCACCAAGTAGGGGAATAACCTCATTCTCTCGGTGAATACAGTGGCATAGTCATCAACACTCATCTTCCCTTTCTTCAGGTTTTGAAACTCGTTGTTTAGGTCTATCATATCTACTTCTGAGCAGTAATGCATTTTCAACTGCTCCATGAATGCTTCCCAAGACATCCTCAGGGATTCTCCTCATGACATTGTATTTGCCAATAACTTCCACTAGCTTAAAACTCCTATCTTTAGTTGTCTGACTGTAATGACGGTTTTCTGCTTGTTACTGTAGTTGCAGCTTTCAAATACCATTTCCATCTCGAAGATCCAGTCCATAATCTCCACTGGCTTTGGGCTTCCAAAAAGACTTGGTGGTTTGGCACCCAAGAAGTTCTTATACATACGTACATCCCTATCAATCCCTTTCTCTGGGTCGTTCCTCCTTACCACTTGGGGTTCCACTTGACTCACAGTACGGTGTAATTTCCTTCCTCATACTGTTCAATGTTCAGCTCAGGTTGTACAATGGGTACAGTAGGTTTATCCCTATCATGCAACATTTGTCTCATCTCCTCTCTTTGTCCGACCATCATAGCCCGAATCATTGCTTGGACTCCTGCCATCGTGATAGGCTCGAGTGCAACTGCTACTTCCAGTGCACGCTCAATCACTGGTTGCTGATTACCATTAGCATTTCCGAATCCGATTCAGGTTCTCTCCATGTCGATCTGTACACCAAAACAGGCGAATTTAGATATCTATTTACGATAGACGTTTAAATCCTCCTCGTTTCTTGGAAAATTTACATGCCATTTCCAATATTGTAGTCAAATGTTTAGAAATCCGAGCACATAAAGTTTCCATATCTGGTCGACAATAGATTATAGATCCGATCAAATAATAACACAAATCATTTAGCACATAAAAGCGATTTAGGCATCATTCCTAAAATAAGCTAGTGCTCATGTCTATATATTTCCCAAATATAGCAGACACTCATCTCACAATCATCACTTAGCATTCTAAGTTTAAGCCTAGAAATCTTACAAATTCCTAGTTCTCTTAAACTAATGCTCTGATACCAACTATGACATCCCCAATTTCACGGTCATAAAAATTGATTTGTTTATGCTTTATTTAAAAATCAGAGTATTCTTTTGAAGAATAATATTGTGGAATTTGTTCCCAAAAATATGATAAATATATTATGAAATAGTTTCCGAAGAAATGTATTTTTCATTATATTAAAAAACATTAGGATGCTATCGTTAATACAGTACATAAGCATAAACATAAACAGTACATGCCTTACAGACATTTATTATTCTAAAGGCCTATAATCCATAGATCTCTCATCAGATCATCACTCATGTACTCTTTTGCCACCACATGTATACAAGAAACTGAGTGGATCGGGCTTGGGAGCCTAGTGAACACTTAGGGTTTTCAACCCACAATAATTAAGTTCTTTAATTTCATCAAATCATTCAACCCGGTTACCTGTTCCTGTTATCCTCACTTTCTGTCCCTATAGCATCTAATTTAAGGGACCTATCCTAAGGATTATCATCAGGATGGACTACACTGCTTAGGGAATTCCTCAGCAATATATATCAATAAGGAAACCATGAGGGTGGCGGAGTACACCTGGTGAACACGTAGTTCAAAAGCACCTAAAGGTTGTGAGACTGCTAGCGTTCCACTAGACCGTCTACAATAGTTTGTGGTCGTCATCTATACTATGCTAAATGACTAAATCAACTTAAACATCAAGGCCTCTCATCATTTATTTCATCATCTATATCATGTACCCATCTTTACCCATCATAATTATAGGTATAAAATACATATACAGTTTAAATCGAATAAAACATGTAGATTTTGTTCATCCAGCATAGATATCAAGAACACAAATAATATCAACACATAGAACGTAATTTATATTAAATACTTTATATCTATGTGTAAGATGAAAGTAATTATGGACTCACTTGTTAAAGTGATGACTCGAAATTCAGACAACGCTTTGCTTCTAACAATTTTCTTTTCTTTCGACGAAACCTAATATTATTATCACTAAGTTTAGTCTAATATTTATTGCGACTAAACATTAGTCTAGATTCATCATTAACTCAAAGTCAACTTTCATGATCTATCAAGTAAGGAACAACCATGTAGGATCATATCGGAGGTAGGGTCTGTTTGGTATACAAAGTATACTGTTTGGAAAGCCTACTTTAAACACCTCACTAAATCACAACCTAGACATCATCCCTATAAGTAGATCAATCAATATAATGACTTTGAATCACTGATATATCTTCTTTAATCGTTCATAATAACATAATGAACTTAAACATAAGTTATACTTAAAGTAGGGTAAGCATAACTCACTTACAATGGGGGGTTTAGCGACGAACCAGGCTCTGCTCGGGTATAAATTCTGAACCCAAAGCTCTTTTTATCGGGGCCTTCTAGCGCTCCAGAACTCGCCTCAAACACTTAGGAAGTGCTGCGGGTGGGGGGTTGCGAGTAATTGGGAGAAGAGAATTGGAAAGGTGTGAAGAAAATGTGAGATTTGCGCCTCTATTTACTATAATTCTTCACTTGTAACCCTGTACTTTATAAAATAACATTTTCCATCCCATTATTTTTTAAAATATTATTTTGACCGTCTCCACTTTGAACTTTATAAAATATCACATTTATCCATTTATTTTCTAAACTTTCGTATTTACCATCGCACGTATCCTTCTTCTACTTTCGCTAAAAGTTCATTTCATAATGCACATTGTACATGCGTATAATACATATTTCATATTACCTTTTATACTTCAATCCTTTAATTTAGTATAATTCTTTATATGCAATCATTCTATTTTGTAAAATGATACTTTTTATCCCATTATTTTTTAAAAGATCACTTTAACTTCTCAACTTTGAACTTTATAAAATATAATATATATTCCTTTATTTTATAAGTTGCATGTTTGCCCCGTCCATGTAGAGTACATTTTCCAATCATTCCTCTCACACATTGTCGTCGTCGCATCGTGCAGCCGGGTAAACATCTAATTTATGTTAACAATAAGTAAAAAAGACATCTTCATTAATATATATCTCAAATATCTAATGTATTTATCAAGTCATTTAATTAAAAATGAAGTCAACCAATCATGGTACCAAGATCAATTTCAACTTTTGATAATCATGTTTCGTATTGATTTTTAAACTTATTTTTCTCGCAATTCCCATTTCCCAACCTGGCACATACAACCCGAATATGATAAGACGTACAATTCACATTAAAATTGAAAACTTTGACACTATAACTACTAAATGGTTGTGCTATAATTACCCCTCGTTCACTCACATACAATTTCACAAAAAAAAGGTGTTACACTCATATAAGAGGGTACACAACATTGGGGTTATAAAAATTGCCCTACTTAAAACCGAGAACTCTCGACCATTTTTACATGTACTAAAAACTATGTGCTATGTCATGGGTGCTATTGACTATAAACTTAAATATAGACCTTTAAACATTGATCTTAAAAAATATATTCTCTGTAATATAAAAATAACCTCCAAATATATTTCTAATAAAAAATCAGATAAAAAACATATTCTGCATGCAAGTTATCTTATCCATTTATAAATTGTACCAAAGCGAAAGGATAAGGACATAAAAATGACTTGGAAACAACTACCTTTAGCTTAGTTGCCAATCTGGCAAAATATTTGTTCTCTTTGTTTTCTTTTTTTTTTCTTGCTTCCATTCTTTTGCTTCAAGTGATGTCAACACTCACAACCAATTATTACAAGGTTAATCTGTTCTATATTTTTAACAATCAATTTAACAAGAACAAGCCTTTTTTTTTTCTTTTCAAATCCAAAACCATGTTGTTTTAAGCATAACATTTTCAAATTAAGACCCATAAAGATTGTTTTATGAAATGATTCCATTGTTTTCTATTTTTTTTGGGTTTCACCCCCATGCACTCTAATTGCAAACTACAACTTCACTATTCCATTGCCAACTTGTATACAATTGACCAAAAAGATTCAAAATACAAGATTTATTCTTTAGAAACACAATATGAAACAATCAAAACTTTTTATTAGTACCTACATTGTCCTTGTGACACCTCCTTTAGATTGATATCAACAAGTCTATGAATATCAGGAATAAAATCACTCTCCATCACTTTGCTTTCGGTTTTGTTATGGACCCTTTCATGTTTAGCCAAACCTTGAATTGACACATATCCTTTGAAGCAAATCGGGCATTTATAGTCCTTTGATCTTCTTTTTAACTCGATGGATATCTCAGAATCAGTAAAATCTTGACCAATTGACTTGGACTTCACTAGAGTTGACCCGAATCGACCCGTATTAACTTGACCCGACCTGCCCCCCAAAACCAAATCTTTTCTCAAACCCAATTCGGAATTGCTCTTGAATTTACAAAACTCCATTGACCCATCGTCCAAAAAGTCAACTCCAACAGTCTTTTCAAGAGTTCTTGAATAGCCATGTGAAATTACGGATTTAACCCTATCCAAACTTCTAACTCCCCTAGAAAGCATCATCAAGTTCAACGCCGCTTCTACAACTTCGTCATCATTGGAAAAGCTCAAACTAGTGGAAATGTGATTAGGCTTAGGAGACTTGTACCTTGTGCATGATCTCTTTTTTCTTACAGGGTTTGCTACTCCGTCGTCATCATCTTGTTCATGTTCGTGTTCATCTGATGACGAAAATGCAGATGATTCATCCAACGGCTGAGATCTTTTGATGGAATGACATCGCATGTGACCATACAAAGCCTTCACTGAATCAAAACCTTTACCACATTTTTCACACACAGTGTTCTTGATCGATTCTTTTCTAGAATGACATCTTTTGTGTGAAGCAAAAGCTTTTGATGAATTTGGATTTGAATTTGAACTCGAAACCCTCCATGATCTTTTAGGGTTCTCTCTTAGAACGTACACGTTAGCGCCATAATCTTGGTCAAAATCAGTTGTTTGTTGACTTCTATTTTCGTCGTTATCATCATCAAAATCAAGACACTTGTCGCCATTAACGACTTCATGATCAGGTTCTTGAATCCCATGTTTTCTGCCATTAGAATCATAAGCTTCGTAAATACCCAATCGCTGTTGACTCATTTTGATTAATTCGCTATCTTCTTCATCAAGACGCTTTCCGACATTGATAACTTCTCGATCATGTTCTTGAATACCCTGTTTTCTGCCATTAGGATGATAATCTTGATCAAAACATTTACTTTTCTTGATTACGTGATCATCATCATCATCAGCATCATCATCAAAAATATGAACACCCTTTTCGCGATTAATAGCTTCTTGATCATTTTCTCGAGTACCCTTTTTTCTGCTAGCTGAAATTAACGCTAAATGACCCCTCATATGACCTCCCAGCTTCTTCCCATTCGAAAAACTTTGTTCACAATATCTGCACACATGAATCTTCTGTTCATGATCTTGTTTCATGATTCAAGATCCAGAATACCCAGATTGAAATTCAGCAGAAAAAACGAAGAAAACAGAGGAAACTAGCAAAAACGAAAACCCCTAAATTTTAGGAAACGATAAACCCTAAATCGAATTTGTTAAGATCATGGAGAACAAAAGGCTAATCTGATCACATGAATGGAATCCATTTGGTAAAGACTGGATCTTGGGGAAGCCCAAGATCGATTTTACTCTCTCTCTCTCTCTCTCTCTCTAAAGCGTATTCTCACTCACGCACACATACGCTTGGTAGTTATGACTTATGATCTGTGACTTTAAAATATACAACGAAAAAAAAATATTTTATGAAGTATGGGAATTACCTTTACTATGAAAATATATAAAAACAGATCATATAAGTTTTTAAATTTGCAACATTTATTATTATATAAAAGTTGTAACGTTGGTTGTGTAGTATTACTAGTATTTTCGTATAAATTATCAATAAGAATAATGAATTCAAAGCCTTCCAACTATTAAAATTACAAAAATCTCACATAAATTTGAACATATAATAGTAACACTACCAAGTTATCAATTTAGTTTTATTAGCCCCAAGTTTCATGTGATATGATTATTATAGTATTTGCTTTTTTTTTCTTTTTAATAAATTACAGAAATGGTCCTTATTGTTATTTCAGTTGAAAATTTAGGCTGTGTTTGGCGCGCTACAACCAGCTGAAAAATTAGTTTATTTTTTGAGTTTTTTTAGGTTGTCGTATTGGCAAGCCAAAAGTTAGTTTATAAGCTAGTTTTTTGTCAATGACTTCCAGCCTAGCTGGGAAGAGACATGGGTTTTATACCCATATGAGGTGGAAGGTTGGGAGTTCGACTCTCGCAAGCTCTCTATAAAAAATAGATAAAGTGTTTATCTCCTTATGTGGAGAATTTCTCCCTGGAATCTCTATAGTGTCGTCTCTGCCCTATTGAATGATTCGATCTCGGGGTCTTCGTTGAAAAATACTTTCAACACGAAGGGGCTCCCATTGAGACATATCGTCGTTCCAAAAAAAAAATAGTTTTGTAGAAAGCTACTTAGACTAGTTTTTTAGAAACTTTTTTTTTAAAATTTTCAAATATACCCCTTAATTAATTATAAAAACATATTCTTTTAAATGTCATTTTATGTCATTTCATATTTTTCAGCTAGATTTTTAGCTAGTGTTACAAAACGTCATTTTTTATCAGCTAGTTTTTCAACTATTAGTTAACTTTTTATTTAACAGCTAATACGTCAAACATAGTCTTTATAGATTACATCGTTATGTTCAAAACATTACAACGTCAATCCATGTAAAAATACGATTTTACTTTTTTCAAAAAACCTTTTACTTTCTTATTTCCCATAATAATAATAATAATAATAATAATAATAATAATAATAATAATAACAATAATAATAAACTATTTCATCCTACTCACCAAAGAGCTTCTAGTCTAGTGATATCATGTGTTTCTTTCTCTCCTTGAAGTCGAAGATTCAAGTCTCATTGGGAACATATATGGATTTAGAAGAAATGTAGGAGTAGGTTAAATTTGTCGTAAAAAAAAAAAAAAAAAAAAAAAAAAAAAAAAAAAAATCTCATTCCACCCTCAACCCTAATCTTATAAATTTATCTCTTACTACCAAGAGGTTCCAAAAACCCCATATCTTTGTTCCACCTTACACTTGTTGGAGAAGCTTTCATTAATGGGAAACTGGTTGAATATGTTTAGGGTAAACATTACTCAAGCCCAACCAACTTATGTGTTTTGATTTAAAAAGTCCCTTTTGTTATTTTTTTGCATTCTAAGGGCACGTATTCATGTTTTTAGGGTTTAAAGGGTCCTTTTGAGAAAAATGAAGGGGTCATCCGGTGAACCCCTTCTTAATCAACAGGTTAATTATGCCATATAGTACCACATCATCAATTAATCTCACTCTCACTCTCTCTCTCTCTGTCTCTCTCTCTCTCTCACACACACACACACACACTATCTCTCTCTTCTTCATCCATCATCTTTGTTCATCACATATTCTCTCTAGAATACCTGCAACTCAAAAGCATACATACATCACACATATACTTCTGTGATTTCGATTCCAAGACCTAATTAACCATGTTTTGATTTTCCCTAAATCCATATAGACTCATCGATTCTGATAACTATAGAAACACGTAGACACACACAAAGCTTCCATTTTTGCGACCCAAAATGTCGACGGAGATGGCAAACAACGATCCTGAAGGAATCGTCGATGGTTGTATAGCCACACACAAAAGTCGAAGTCAGCAAGTGGGTCATCCCTTTCAGAGTGGTGGCGGGGCCTCCCGGGATGAAGATGCAGCCAAGAGAACTTATCAATCAAAGCAAATCATAACCCACCACTAAGTTTGAATCTGAGATAATCCTCTATTTTTTTTCACCTTGTTCATGGATTTTAAGAGTATAATACTCTTTAAATGAACTTGGTATATATGTAGATGAAGAAATCTGAGAAAGACCGACGACAGAAGGCGGGTCCGACGAACTCATTAGCTGTTGCAATCAAGGCAAGACGATGACATCCATCATTAAACATCTCTATGCCACCATCCAATTTGGTAGCGACCACAAAAGTCAACGATGTTTTGGACGAAGAAGATGAGAATGTTTCCTTACTTTTTTCAGATCACTCAATTAATTTCATATCACACATTCAATCGGAATATCATAGGTTAAAGGATGCCCAACAATCTATTTTTTGAAGAGGAGGATCATGTTCCTCTTCTTTTCTTTGTACCGACATACCGAAAAAATTAAGAAAAAAGTAACATGAATTTGTTTTGAATTTTTAACTTTTAAAAAATATATTGAAAAGCCAGATATACTAATTGTAACCGGTAAACCGGAAACAAATATGGTGGTTCCCCTTTTGAACAGGTCAAATGAAAGTTTAAATACTTAGACTACCAAAAAAACATGAAGGACCTTTTAAACCAAAACACGTAAGTTAGTTGGGCTACGATGACATTTACCCATATGTTTACATGACTCATCTTGAAGGTTTTGAACATGCCAAATTCCCTATAAAGGTGTGCAAGCTTGAGAAGTCCATTTATGGACTTAAACAAACATCTAACAGTCGAAATCTTTGCTTCCATGAAAAAGTCAAAGAGTTTAGATTTTCTAGAAGTGAGAATGATTATTTCGTGTATGTCGAAGCTAGTGGGAGTGTATTGACCTTTCTAGTTTTCTATGTTGATGACACACTCTTTATATGAAACAATGTTCCAACTTTGCAAGAAGTGGTAAAGGAGATAAATTATATGATTCGATTCCCATATGCTTTTACTATATGATTGATCATGCATACTATGACATGCAGTTGACCATATGTGGCTTATACTTTAAGAATGGTTAAAAGATATTATGGAAACCTTGGCGCAACTAATTGGAGAGTAGTGAAAAATACACTTTAGTATTTGCAAAAAACAAAATATATGATCTTAGTTTTTATTGGAAAAGATAAAATTAAAGTGGTTATAGTGATGCCAGTTTCAAACATATCATGATAATAGTCATTCATAATCTGGCTGGGTGTTTCTATTGAATAGTGGACCAATGACTTGGAGTTTGTGAAGGAACTCGGCGAGTTGGCACCAAGACTCGCCGAGTAGGGACGCGGATGTTCATTCTATTTCATGACCGGAATCGGCGAGTCCACACTGTTTAGTGAAGCCCTAATTTCCAGGGTTTGGAACCTATTTAAAGGCCCTTATGGCCGTCCATTGTGGCTACTACCCCCCCCCCCCAGAGAGAGTCTCAGATCGTTTGAGAAGCAAGGAGTGATCATTGTTGATTTTTGTGGTGTCATTTAGTAAGAAGAAGGAGGTTCTAGCCAAGGGAAAGCAAAGAAGGTTGCTATTCTAAGGACTAAAAGCTAAAGATCATTCATTTGAGGTAATATTTCGACTCTTCTTCTGTTTTGGGGAGGATATGTAGTTGTAGGGTTTCTTGTACCCTTGACTAAGTTGATTTGAGGTCCAAATAGTCCTTTCTAGAGATAAGGCTTTGTACCTGGACCCATAGAGGTCCAGAGAGCCTTATTCTTCAAGCTTTATGAAGAACAATGGAGGTCATGACCGTGGGTTAAGGTGTTTGGGACAAAATCATCATTTGATGCTTATTGGTTGAGTTATAAGCATCAAGATTCATACTTTACGTGACATTTATGCTTGGGAAGGCCAGATCTATGGATTAGGGGCACAGATCTGACCACAGGAGATCTATAGAGTTTGTGCATGGCATGAACTCGCTGAGTTGTTCTTGGGACTCGGCGAGTAGGGTTAAGGCCCACACAGATTACTCAGTGAGCAGACTTATCGAGTTGGGAGATAACTCAGTGAGTCGGAAGGGGATTAAAAGACTGGAGTTCAAGGCGGTACTCGTCGAGTTGTTCTTGAGACTCGGCGAGTTGAGTCGGGGTAGCCCCGCGATTATGCCAGGTGTGACTCGTTGAGCATGGGGTAGGACTCGACGTACCAAGCGGGACAGAGGGTTAGTGGACATGTGTGTACTCGCTGAGTCACCGGAGTGCACTCGGCGAGTTGGGTTAACGTTGACCGTTGACTTTTGTTGAGTTTTAGGGTTTGCTCAACAATGGGGTCTTTGAGTCATGGGGGGGGGGGGGGGGATAAAATTGCCTTTTTCCCTTCTGAGGGTGACAATAGAGGGTCGAGTCTAGCCTCGAGTGTTGTGTTTATGAGGGTATTTACTTTGTGTGAATAGGCGGAGGCTAGGCAATACTTCTACCAAGTCAGAGATTTACGAGACGTCTGAGGTCTTACCCGATGCGGTAATTGTATGTGACCGAAGGGTCTTATGTGTTTGATGTATATGCGATATAAGTTATATGTGATATGTTATGTGTTATGAGCATGATGTGGGCCGGAAGGTCAAGATGATACGGACCGGAAGGTCAACCGAGTTTGGGATGGAAATCCCCTGAGACACTT